AGTGACTATTGTAGCTATTACCAAGTCAACAATATGGTGATTTATTTACGTTTATCAGCAAGCTGCAGTGACAAATATTCGGTGAGGTCTACGACAGTGGATTGAATAAGGAATCCTATAGCATATTTTGTTATTCAAAGAAATAAAGTCGGTATTTATTATGGCTTGGATCATATAATAACATCATTTCTAGTGTGCGTACAGTGTACGTCTAGAGGTAAGTGTGAGGAGCTTATATTCTTCTAAAAGATAATTATAGGATATACGGCTATGACGACATCTATAATGCATTGAGCGTAAGAATTTTCTTTGCACCATTTCAATTGCAACACTATATTTTTTATAATATGGGTTCCATGTAACGACGGTTGCGAACGTATACAGACTTGAGAGGCGAACAAAGTTTAGCATAACAAATCCATACATCTTGTAGGCCTTGCTAATAATATTATTAACATCTAGATGCATTTTCTCCATTTAGTGTGAACCCAAGATCTCTAATAGATTTAACGCAATTAAGGTTTTCGCCACTTAATTTATATGAAAATGTATTATAATTGTGGTTTTTTTTTGGTAAACGTTAGTACTTTACATTTATTTAAGTTCAATTTTAATTTATTATCTACACAGTATCTTGAGCATCTATCAATATTTTCTTATAACTTTATATGTCTATATTAAAATAGCAAAAATTGAGACCCAAATAGTTCTGATAATCAGATTCATAGCCCTTAGGCACAACTTTTTGTGTCCGGTTTGTTATGTAAGACTTAGCAAAGCCATAAAATGCCTCGGACACCAGTGAAGGCTAGTTTCTCTAAAAGCTTTTTATGATCCACCCTGTCAAAACTTTTTGAACGTCTGTATCAATATTGTCTGTTTTTATGTTACGATATAACGCTTCGATAAATAAGAGTCAGATGCGTCGTTAGCAATAAGTACAAGAGGGTTACTTATATGAAATGAAACAACTTTTAAATATTACAAGTATTTAATGTACCTTATGAATGCCGTATAAATATTTCAAATTGTAAAACAGTGATAAAATTCATATTTCAACTAATAAAACTGCCATTAACATAACTTAGTATTCGAAATTATATTTCAAAAGGTATTCGAAATAATTACAATTGGAAATACCTTCAAACTTATCTATTTGCAAAATATCTATGAATAGGTACAACGGAAATTATTTATCGTTACAATACTCTTAACTATTACCATAATAAACAGGTACCATAATTAAATCTCTTAGTGCATTTTCAAATTATATAGGAGCTTCAGTTTTCAGTGTTCGATTAAATACATAAGTAATAAATCACTGCAGATAACAAAATCTAATTGGACTGTACAAGGGAGATTATATAATAATATAAAAAGTTGGCCCCAGCTTTAGAAAGGGATCCACAAAATCTAGGACTATTTTAAAAATTTGTAAATATTTTTTTGAAAAACTTATAGCAAATCCAGTTATTGAATACAAAAGGACCTACTTTTATGAATGCAGTCTTAGTACTGGTTGTATATTTATCAAAGAATGTTAAAACATCTCGAATGTTTATCTGGAATGCACTTTTACAAAATTCAACCCTTACATTAGTATATTTTAATATAATTAAATGAAAAGAAAAACGCGTGGATAACGATACCCTCGTATAAAATGAAACACGTTGAGCATTACCCTACAATTATCGATACACATGCTACTTGTATTATGTAATACGCAGTAATTATAATTGATTAGGTATAACAAACATGACCACTTGACTTTACACAGAATTTGGCAACTTGGATGAACACCTTATCTTATACAATATGTGTCATATAGATACATGTTATGTAAATGTTAGCAATGTCCAGAATACATTTAGCTTTTCAATATTTCTAATGTTTTTCTTAGATATTTCAACATTCCTAAATGAGAAAATGGATACCTTTATCTAATAAAAACCCAAGAAATGTGTTAGACGTCAATAATGACTACAGACTTAAAGGATTTTGATGCATAGACTGTATGATTACTGATCATAAATATTTTAATGGTATTTGCTACTACTCCACATTCTACATCTATCGAACACTCGCACATTACATTAAATTAGATTAAAAAGTATATACAAGTTACACCTAATATATCTTAACTAACCCTACGTAGGTTAATATTCTGATACCAAAAAAGTATCTGTGTATGGCCTCTGACACTTCGTTTCAAAAGTTGTTAAAGAATGCGAAGTGGGTAGGTATTTCTGGTATGATTATGTTTTAACAATCCATTTCATACGTTTGATTTTATTCCATACTTTTCTTCTTCAGCGGGTACTGGCCTAAATATAGTACCTACGCTAGTAATTATATTTTACCATAGAATAGCGAGTACTATATTTGAAATGGAAATGAATGCGTCTCTGGCTACTAAGATATATAGCAGAATATATAATTCCTTCATCTCCAATTCAATTATCGTTAGTGTCCTCTACTGATTTTAATACCAGCTCGTAATAGCCTAGGTACTTATATAACGCTGCTGTTTAAACTAGCAAAGAAAAGAAAACGACTACAGCTCCAATATCAGTCGAATCAATTTTGACTAAGACGGAATCAACTCACACATAATATTTATTTAAAAATTTCAAAATGGAACAACGCACAACCCCAAGAACAATAATAAATACATAATAATGTCACCACAATAGAATTTGTTTAACCTAAAGTTAACAAATTGAGCTAAACAATTTTTTTGATAAAGATTTTTAAAAATTGAATTAATAGTTATTTATAAACCTTAAAACACAGTTGGAGTGTGTTTGGGGAATAAATATTTTGTCTTTTATTTCGCAAGAAAATCACATGCGACACTGGAAGATTACTATTCGATCGATTCATATATCTCACAGTCATGGTGTTTTCGCCCGTTCGACCATAAAAACGAACTTATGTTATAACATGGTGTTCAAAATTGTTTAGTGACAAATGGTTCTCCTTTAAACGCCCGTTAAAGGCCTATCATTCTTACTAAGACAAAATATATAGAAATATAACTTGTATCTGTTTTTTTTTTACTTTACTGAAAGGTGCTGAATCAAATTGATGTATCGATTCTTTATACTTACAAAGAACCCTGAATTTACTAGCCTTTAAAATTTGACGAGCGACAGTGCTGTAGTAGTTTAATGGCTTAGTTATATTTTTATACAATACGCATGACATTACAAAAATTGATTACTTTGAACAAACATTAGTCCAAATCATTTACAAAGACTGTTTTACAGAAAGTAGAAACTGCAGAGCATATTGTTGCCTTTGTATTGAAAAACAATATTAAACAGTCTTCTTAAAATTCACAGTCCACTCGCCTTTCATATAGATGAATTTGTCACTAAACAATGGCATTATTGCTATGGCTGATGTTCTGAACTGGTTGTTTAGCTGGGATGCTGCGCGGCGACCTTGCGGAGGCGGTAGCCACCAGTGCCGCGGACCGTGTACAGCACCAAAATAGCCACTGCCACCACCGACATGCCGATGGCGTTGATCACGATCCCCTCGTTCGGCAACGTTGCGTACACGTCGCTCCTGTACACCGCATGCCCCGGGTTAGTTAATTAAAAGGCTTAGATTAAATTCGTTCCCAAAGAAATATCTACAAGAGAATTCAACATTCGGGCCGCTTCCTTTACTATATAGTGGTGGCGGGACGAAAACAATGGCAGAGCGATTTACCCATGCAGGTCGTGAAGGTGGACAAGATATTGGTATGAGGGCGTCGTCCCGCTGCAGCTGTAACTGTCACTTGGCCGTCGAAGCTAAGGACGCCACCAAGTGTTTAATGTCGGTTAATGACATTATGACAGAGTCCATGTACTCTTATTAAATATTCTCTCGGAAACTAGTAGATCGATATTAGATAAAACATTATGCCAAAAATAGGTCAATACTTATGGTTAGCAAGCAATAAAAATATATACGAGTAGGTTTACTATATACATAAATTGATTCAAATATAAATATAAATGATAAGACAAGGGCATAACATACCTTTTTTTTAATATATCATTCTACAAATAAATTATTTGGGTGAGTGGGAAAAATGTTTTGATAATGAGTAAATAATTAATCACTAAATGAAAAACATGAATTTCTTGTAAACAAGCATGATATAATCATTTAATTGGTATTGTTTAAATCTTACTCTATAGTTTCCTTATGATGATATATAATTTAGAAGTGAGTTCATAGGCATTATTTATCGAGCAGCCTGTAAATTAACGAACTTACATGCTTAACTTAATTATATTTATATACGTATGATTTAAACAATGCCAAAGATGAGTGTTATAAAAAAGTGCCATAATACATGATAGCATAAGTACATAAAGCAAAAGCAGTCGTGCTATTAAGTGTAAAAGGGTCTAAAACTGCGTAAAAGCTTACCTGAATAAAGATAAGTCAAATAAAATGAAATCTGAGTAGTCACTTAATTTATTTACGATGCCACAAATATAAACTGTGTCTTATTTAAGAATATTCCATCATAACTGTGTCTTATAATATACTTCTATTTACTTAATGCCTAATTTATATTGATCTGATACAGATCAAAGCTAAACAGTAAAGCCTCGTGTCTGTTCTCTATAGGTATGTATCTGTTAGTTAAAACAATATATTAATAGGTACCTTATCTTGTATGTTGAAAAATAACTCTTACAGCAAACGTTTAAGGAAAAAAATATTTTAATTATATTAGCTGCCATTAATAATATATTACAGTGTTTTAAACTTACCATGTTTATAAAAACTATAAAATGCGAGTCGCAATTGTCGCAAACTCATCACTAATTAAATGTACCTACAATTTCATTTACATTATCCGTTTGATCAAATTATAAATATTCAGATACCAGAACCATTGATCAACAAAATATTTTAAAGTAACTAACTTATAATGTGTGTGAATGAAATCAGTGGCTCTCACATCTAGTTTAATGTCAAAATATTACTGCCTAGAGGTCTACTGAAGCTCGTATGTGCTGGTCACGGTATTCCGGCCTGCGGAATTTGTTCCTCGACAAGATATACATGACGACGGCCAGTATAGCGATCATAACCACTCCGATCGTGTTGATGATAATTCCCTCGTCCACCATCCCGCTGTACCTCTCCCCTCTGTGGACACATATACTTACAAGCAACTCACACAAGCAACACAACACAAATACAGATGCTTCTAAAGTTATCACATGCTACATTGCTAGATGTTGGACGTGCACGACTCAGATTTACACACAAGGTATTTGGTGGTGCTATTACTATATTTTAGCATGCTCAGGTGATATAAATTAACAAAAACACAATTCACTGATAAACATGTAGGTAGGTACTGATGAAAAAAAACTAGGATGGGTTTAGTGTTGTTATAGTCATAAACGTGTAACTAATATTATTTAATTATTCATTTATATCTTGTTCAAATCAATATACGAATTTATTTCAATATTTTGACATATGGTACCTTTACTTTAAACAACACCTTTAACTGATATTTAGTCATATATGATAGTTTAATAAGTAAGTAAGAAGAAACAAAAAAGTTGATTCTTAAATGTGCTTTTACGTACCCGAGAGTGAAGATAGCTTTCTCAGTAAGTCCGGTGAGGCAGGCAGCCACGCCAAGTACGAAGGTGAGAATCCCAAATGCTGCGTGAACAGGCACCAAAGAGGCGCGGAAACTGGCTGTGCCCTTGTTACAAATCAACAACAGCAGGAAGCTGAAGAAGCCGACAGCGTACTGTGGGTAAGGTTAAGAAATGTGTTTAAATTTCTTTGACATCCATTGAAATCTTTCATTTTTCAACTGAGATATATGTTCCTTTTGTACTTGAGTATATTTGTCAAATGTGACTAAGAGCATCTACCTAAAATGACACTATAAAATATCTTGATAATCATCTCATAGAATTGTTTAATAGCCAACATGTGGTAGAAAGCTGTGAATACTACGCTAACCTTTAATTTATCCTTCTCCTAATTGTGTACCTCCCAACAAATTATTCGTATACTGAATAATTAGTCCATACTGCATTTCCTACATTTTCAATAAAACAATCCACATAAGTCAGATGAAGAAAGCTCGGACTACCTACATGTAATTCTACACTTACTAGTATCTATTAAACTGCACATGATGAATAACATTTGCCATTGTTGCGCACTTTAAAAAACCTACTATTTCTAAACACATATAAGAAGGAAAACGGACCACTCTTTCAATTTAGCTAGTCAGCATTTATGCAGGTACACATTAAATTTAACGTAAACTTTTTATAAGATTCGAGTCTACGAATGTCTCTACTCTGCTCGTTCATACGGAGTTTTTATGTGTTGCGAGTGCAGCTCATTTTTCTTGACAACCAATCCTAGTAAATCGTTCGATAAAAAACCATACAATACAATAAATACAAAATATACAGTTAATATCATGAACAGCTTTTTTAAATAATTCATTTAGCAAATAAAATTACGAAATAAAACAACCCTGTGTTGTCTATCGCGCAGGTGGTCTGTATCTGGCACAAAAGATGCCTTCGGGAGACAAGAAGTTTGAACCGCAAGCTTACAATCGGCACGCGGCGGATAGGCGGCGATGAAATAAGTCGCCAAATGTATCTACCTGACAATATAAGCTTGGCCCCAAATTATAAGTACCTAATATCTTTCAAAGGCAATGAAAGCTAATACAACGATGTAGCTACGACAAAATAAAACCTTGCCTAAGTATTTAACAAACAATCCGAATATGAGATCCGTGAGCCATGAGTCTGTTTTGTTTATAGCTTTATTTCTGAATAATTATGTTCATCATTACCTGTAATCCAAACAGTCCCATGGCAACAAAGCCAATCCAGCTATGTAGCGAATAAAAGTTGTTGATGCCCTTTTTGTTGTGGTAGTCAAGCACAGCCAGGAATCCAATCACGATGCAAGGGAACGCCAGTGCATGGAAGATGGCGTGTAGAAGTTTCACGTAAATGCGCCTGAAGCAGCGACAGATGCGGTACAGCAGCACGGCTGAAGACAATACGACGCTCTAATTAGTTTACCTTTAGGTAGGTTTCATTCCTATATAGGTAATGTGTTTTTTATGTTTGTTTAAACACCAGTGAGCACAAGTATCCACTTGACTTACTGGATTCACAAATAATTATGTTAACAAACAATAATAGTCGTCTCTTACATAAGAAGCGAATGGATTATTCGTACTAGGTACGTGTATTTATGTGTCCTTACTGGGACATTAGTCCGCTATCGAGCACTCGTGCCCAAATCATGTACAACTTTGGAGTTATATCGGATACCAAACCCTCTCAATATTGACTTATTTTACTGAAGCGTCAACGTGTGCGAGAAAGTGTATATTATTATGTGAACAGAAATATCTTTCAAATGCTTACTGAAAAGTTTTTATAGAAAGTACGAATAAATAAAGATGTATCCGAGTAAATAATATTTTGTTTAAAAGTAAATGTAAAATAAATTACATAAAATCAAATTTCTATAGGTACCTAGTGACACTATAATTTTGACATAACATATTTTGTTAAAAGATCGTCAGCAACAAATTAACGCTGACAAATTGAACAAGTGGATGGTGGTGAACATGGATATTTTGCCTTAGAGAATCTTAAGAGAGAAAAAAATATGGAAGAAAACATAAACATAATTCGTTATTAGCATAGTGTGTCTGTAAATTGAAATCAATATGTATAAGTCAAAGGTATCATTAAAAACAAAGTATACCATTTTCGAGTCTCTAAATAAGTAAAAAAAATACTCACAGAAACCGCTGAAGGTGATAAATCCTGCGACCATAAGCGTAGGATGCAAGTTGAACTGCTTGTCAGGCAGGTCATCAGCCCAAGCATAGCCTTCGCGGTAGTAGAACACCCAGAAGATAGTGAGCGCCGAGACACCGATGAGCAGGATGGTGGCCAGTGTGATGACCAGCGCGTATTCACACCACTCGCAGGCGCCCCGCTCATGTTCGTCCGATTCATAAGAACGACTGCGTTGACTGTGAACAATTAAATTTATATTGCAATTTATGATATAGAAAAGACAACACTTATAAAATGTGACTACAAAGTATATATTGTACATACGTGTACCACGGGTTAAGTCTGTACATTGTATATCATTATTTAAATAATAAGTGCTTATTTTTACCATCACGTTGATTTCTTTGATCGCATATCTGGTAAGATACTGTGTAAGTCAGAAACCAGGGTGCGGCTTACTAACACTTCTATACTAAATATTGATTATTCCTGACTGGATTTTGGACTTCGGTTATCTTAGCTGTAGAATATGGGCTGTGTACTGCCACAATAACTACTTGTGAAACTGTCTTTCATTTCAATTAACTTTATCGCATCAGATTTCGTTTATCATTTAACTACCCATCCATCCATTCATCAGATAAGTGTCAAGACCTTGTTAGTGCAGTTAGTCAAGAGTCATTGCACTTTTCTAATAATACGTATTTGAGCAAACAGTATAGTAGTTGAGTCGTGTCAGTTAGCCTTAGCGAGTTTTTTTTTATGGTATGGTAGTTTGTTATTGGTACTTATTTTAATATAGAACGCACGTACGAGTACGTCGAGCCACTAAACGGAATAACACATTACGTGTAGAAGCTGTACCATAAAAACGTATACTCAAAGATTTATTTTTTGCCTTATTGATAGTGATTAGGAATGGTTGCATTTTTATTTTAGCTGAGGCTTTTAGTTTCAGTTTACATTTAACCGCACGAATACAAGCTTGATGGCGAGCAATGACCGGAGACCCGTAACACTATATTTGTGGTATTGTGACCGTACTCATCAAAGTACCCCTTAAACACGACACCCGTGTTAAAGGTGTACTTTAAAAAAGTATTCCTAAACTTTATTCATTTATGTGCCGTCTCACAGTCAGCATGACAAAGTTAGGTAAAATATTGTTTCACTAGTTTTATCCGCGCTGCCGATATTTAGCTTCGAGTACCTGAGTAGCTTCGAGTTAAGTAAGAGGATTACGACGTCGGCCTGACCTAAATCACTTACATGGATCTAAAGTTTTGTAGCGACCTATGACACCGCATATCACCTTTTAAGTGGTTCTTTCATTATGATGTTCGGACAAGTAGTATAAATATCCGAAACATAAAAGAATGCCTCATGAATGACTAATGTGAATTCACAAATACTTTCTACTTGCTTAGCTTAACAAAGCTTTCAACGACACTGTTGATCATTTACTTTGGTTAATGTTGTAACTACATATACTTATATGTACAAGTACAACTCAGAGTGGACAATACTGATATTCCACGAGAGTTAAAAATAGACAGAAAATTCTTAAAAACAGTTGAATTATCATCATCCTATTGCCGTCCAATACTTAACGAAGACCACTCCAAAGGAGTGCCAACCATCCTGGTCTTGAGCAATCCGCATCCATCCGATGCTATTTTTCTCAAGTCGTCGGTTTACCGTACGGCAGGGCGCCCTACACAACGTTTGCCTAACCGCGGTCTCCACTCGCGGTCACGATAGACGTATACATAATAGACGGATACATGCCTATTATACATTATCTTGGTCTTACCAATATTCATCCCAAGTCCCACTAGTCTTGAAGAATCGTCCAGACTGCTAAGCGTTTCTTGTAGATCATGCAGAGATTCCGCCAGGATCACTATGTCGTCTGCAAATCGCAAGTGTGAGATGTATTGATATTGATTCCATGTCCGTTCCAATCAAGCGTCTTGAAGACGTCTTCCAATGCATTGGCAAACAGTTTCGGTATAATAACGTCTCCCCGCTATGCAATTGGTTTTGTCTTGCACTCTGTTTTTGTACTTGGACGGTCATCGTTGCGGCTTCATAAAGACATCTCAGCACTTGGTTATATCGGCAGTCGACCAGGCATCTCTGCATAGGTTTGAGGACAGTCCAGGTCTCGACGGGGTCAAAGGCCTTCTCGTAGTCCACATACGTAGAAATATATAGCAAACATTTGTTAGTTGCAGGATATTTAATATATTGTATTAAACTATCAATAATTAACATCGATAGTTATAAAATCGAGATTACGTTTTAATTTTATCTTTTATGTTATTTAACTTTCAAAAGACTAGAGAAAGGTCTCATGTATAGTTTTGATATTATGAAAAAAGTATGACATGGGTCGAACCATCGAATAAATATATATGTATGTATATGTCACATGTGAAAGGTTAAGCTAAAAATGAAAGCGAAGGCACCGAGCCACGACACACGACCCTCAAAATCCATAGTCATTCTACATATCTGCAATGTATACTTTTTTTTTGGTTTCCAATTAACTCTTCTAAAGTACAAAACATAAGAAATACTTTATATAAAAATATTAACATTTTAGCTCTGTCTCGTATGGAGCAGTTGCAGATGGCAAAGTAATAACTGTCGGACCTGAGCGTGTTAGCGCACAGGCGAAATGCTACTATATTTCATATCCTTCGCACACCGAACGATGTGGCTGTTGTGTTATTTGAAACGCTCCAGTATTTCTATTTACTCAATAAATTGCATTTGAAACTAGAAGTTGTGTCGTTGATTGAAACAGACGATTTTGTGTGTGTGACGTAGGCATCATTTCGAGTCCGAATCTTAAGTTTTCTTGAAATATAAATGAAACACTAGAGTTACTATTGTGTATAGAAACACGCTCTCTACCAAATGTAAACTTTGTAATTTTATTTACTAGCAGAAATCAAATATACTATGGACAACGCTGTTCTAAAACGTCTGTATTAAAAATTCTGCTAACAGGTTTATATTGGATATCAGATGTATATTTTTATAAGTTTCATTTCCACATAGGTATATTATCAAACTTGTACGGTATGATCACCAAACTATGCCTAGTTTTTAATAAACTTACAAAGTTAAATGATGAATTCCACTTCAATAAAAGGTAAATGCCGTACTGTAAGTGTTATTTTCTTTAGTAAACTATTACATCTGTGAGTAAAATATCAACAAAAAAGCAGTTTAAAGAACAGAAACGGTATTAATTTATATTAATATATTTCTTTATAAAAATTCAACCGTAGAAATCAGTTACGGTTTGTAAACAGCTAAAATAAAAATACAATATAGATTTATTATTTATTTACGTAACTCTCTATCCTTGCAAAGGTCAGTGCCACTTAGGTAGAGATTATATAAGCGAACTTGGGTCGTGACAGGTGATGACAAAGGATTAACCCTTGAAATAACATTATGTTCAAGCTTTTATATTAAGAGCCTGTGCAGATGCTACACCTTATTACGTTGTCGATTTAAATTGGTTTAATAATTTGTTCACTCTCCAAACGCATTATTTATTTAAAAAAACGCAGGAAGATCCAAAAGACAAGTATTATTTCATCAAATTCGCGTTTAGCAAAATCCAGATAGAGATCAGATATGTAGGTATATATCATATCATCAATACCTTTAATATGGTGATGAGAAGGTACTGACACAATTGATTTTGTGGCAAACACTCTATATAGACATGTATTTTGTAAACAAACATGTCTATTATGATCGCACAACATATTTGGAGTGTCATTTAGTGAACTTCAAGTCCGCCTCTACTATAGACGAAAATGCGGTAGAAATTTAAGAAACAAGCCACTCTTCCTTTCAAGCAGTAACGTAGTACAGTAGTACGTAGATAAGGTACTTTATGAGATGCTGTGCCAGTAACACTTGTGAGTGAAATCGTTTAAAGTGCACAAGCGCTGTCCCAGCTTTGCATTAACATATAGCTTTTTTTATGCAAACCCTGTACATGCAGCTTTCATATTGTCTGGCTTAACATTCGTTTATTGTACTCTCTTTCATCAGATATTAGGTACACGTAACTTGTTTTATTGTTTCTGTAGTCAAGATAAATATCTTGACTACAGAAACAATAAAACAACAAAACAAAATTGTCGACCGATTTGCAAACGACAAAATAGTAGGTACATTATATGATGAGATGGGTGAGGCTAAGAAATCTAAAACATATTCTAATTATTAATGCCGAGTTTTCACAATTTTCGTTTACACACTATATTTATAACAATTTTTCGTATTTTATTTAAAATTCCAAATTCAAGTAAACTTTAAAATAGAAACGAGTATTCTTTGAGAAACTGCCCGACCAAGGGGCTCAATGTCGAGATCATAACTTCCTACCTAAATACCTACTACTAAATACCTACTTGCGCTACAGATTCAAGCTAAACGTCAATATGGCGTATCATCTGGATTGATTTTATATTTTACGGCATTAATTTTTTAAATGTTAACAAGAATAGTGATGAAAAATAATACAATTGTCTAAATCAAACGACTTGAAATACTAAGCACCTAAAGTAAATAAAAGATCATAACAGTTTGGAAACTAATTGATAAAATTACCTGCCGTTGGGTTCTTTTTATAAGCATTTCAAACTCAACGATTGTGACGATTTTTATAAATAATTTTATCATCATCATATCCAGCAGAATATTACCTATATACTACTTACATTGATAGTTCCGATCCGAGATATGTCAGAAGAAATTCGTTCGATTATCTTAGTTTACGAACATGGGATAATAGTAACAACAAACTTTTCCTATTTGCGAAATAATAACGGCTGTACAACATGTGTATCAATGCATGATTACGTAACAATGTAGTCTGTGTGTGCTTTGGAATAAACATGCTTTCTCTTGGGACTTTAACAAGCGTGATTTAAACGTATTGTAAACGTGTTATGTGTTTGTTTCATATAAGCTAGTCAACGAGTTCAAAAACGTGTTAATTCTTGATAAAGCTCCTAAATATATGAGCGCTGGCTCATTAGATTCTAGAAAAATGTATGGCAAGTAAAAGTAAGCAAATAAAAATTGCAATTAATTAACAAATTAAGATGAAAAAACGATAGCATTTCGTTTTTTGTTAATAACTCAAAAATTATTCGTCATATTTTTAGGAGCTTTATCAAGAATTAACACGTTTTTGAAC